GACGAGTACCCAACCACGATGATGCCAGTCTTGACGACACCACGCGAAACACGCGCCTTCGACTTCGTCCCGGTGAACATCATCCGCGACGACGGCAAGGAAACGTCTTTCCGCGAACGAAACTTTGGCGACTTTAGCGACGTTAGCTTAGTCCCCGCTGGAACGAACTCGCGTATCCAGGTGAGTGACCATCAGTCATTTGGCTGACGGAAGATAGATATTTGATAGATATTCGATAGATTCTAATTTCGACCCTGTTCGAACTCTGGCTACCTTGACAGGTAAAGAAAGGACCGAACGGCAAGGACTACGAATACGAGTACGTATATTATTACTATGACGAGGAGGATGAGAATAAGGCGGGTACAGCGGACTCGGCCGTCACCAATTCTTACGACGTTCCTTCTAGAACCACGCCCGCGCCTAGGCGCGGCGGATCGTCAGCCAACAGGAACAAGTACACGAACGTCGAGAGATCCAGCACCGTGGAACCGGCCAGCAACGAAGTTATTCCGAATCGTAACGGAAACAGAGGCCGACAGTTGGTCGAGACGGAAGACGTCTCCGAGGAGAGACTGCCGACCAACACCAGATTTCCGCCTAGGTGCGTGTTCCCCTCCACCTCGTCGCGCACTGAATGACTGAACATAGCTAAGATAGGTAGAAGTTGATTGGTTGCTTGGACACGACAGGTCACGATCGAGTCACAACACCGGCACTACCGAGCCTTCGAGAACTCGCGGAAATCGTCCGAGGCCCGGCCTGGACCTCGTCGACTCGAGCAGCTTCCGCACGCATCAGGAGGGGCCCGAGTTCCCGCAAGTGTTACCAAAGGGGCCCGTCAGGTTCCTCGGGGTCACGCCGAACGAGGAGAACGCGACAGAGGAGAGGGCGGCGGCAACAGGCAGAGGACGAGCGAGACCGCAGAGAGTGCAAGAACCCGCTCCCGTCGAGGAGATCGTCGAAGACGCGCCCGCTCCCACCACCGCCAGGAGGAGACCGATTAGCACACTCTCGACCGAGGTAATTAATTATCTCGTTGCTTTCTTTCTTTCTTTCTTTCTTTCTGTTGTTCTGACAATAACCGAGACTACTTTTCACCTTTACGTTTCTCGATTTTCAGCTCGACGTCGAAACGTCGAAGGGAAAGGATTGGCGAGCGAGCGAGGAGAAAGAAGAAGACGCCGCGTCTTCGCTGACGGAGAAAGCCAGAGACAAAGAGTCGTCCGCTGACGAAAACTCGGACTCTCCTTCCACGATCTTGGCAAACACCGAGAATCCAACGACCGAGTATCCATCCTCCATGGACAAAGTGGCGCTCGACTTGTACGCTTTCGTCCAGCAAGGGCAAAACAATCTGGTCGACGCGTCCGGCACCGATTCCTCGCCCTCCTCCGACGTAACCACCACTTCCAACGAGGAGAACACCACCGATTTGGCAGCTGCGACGGAATTGTCCGCGACCACCGTCACCCTCGAACCTGTCACCACCACTGCCAC